AAAAGGTTGGCCAGTAATAGCTGATAATCAATGGCCCGAAAGCTTACGGATTGCATCAAAAATAATTGAATAAATGTATCAATAAATTGAGCGAAAAGTAAAGATTTATTCATTTTATAACATTTTAAACATTATTCACAAAATGTTTAATAAATGTTTTTTCAATGAATAAATCACTAATCTGTTAAAAATTAACAGTAAATCTAAAGTTTGAAATCCAAGTATTTATCTACTTTTTTTATAAGAATCTAAAAACAGGATAACTGATATACATTTTAAATGAAGTTAGCATGTTATATATATTTTCAAATAAAAATTCATTTTCAATTCATATTCACAATTAATTCATACACATTATTCAGTCTAGAAATATAAAAGAGATAAAAAATTTATAGATTATTCATTGAAAAAGCATTTATCAAACATTTTGTGAATAATGTTTAAAATGTTATAAAGTGAATAAATCTTTACTTTTCGCTCAATTTATTGATACATTTATTCAATTATTTTTGATGCAATCCGTAAGCTTTCGGGCCATTGATTATCAGCTATTACTGGCCAACCTTTTGGATTAAGCAGCTAGGATTTTATATTATGTTTCTAATAGGCATAAACTATCACCATATAAATTTTGGTTAAAATCCGTGAGTTTGGCCTGGAATATGATGCTCTTGAGCTGACCTTAAAATAATGTCTCAAAAATGTAAGTCTCGCACACATCAAACTTATTCCTGGAAGTATGATTATCCCTATGAAAGTGTATGGACACACATCTGACTGAATTTAAAATAAAGAGTTAAGCTGGTTGTGTCCAGCTCAGGTTAAAGTTCAATTTGTATATGAAAACCAGGTTTAGATATTCATTTTTAAAAAAATCAAGAGTCCTTTTTATTGGTAAAATTGGTGAGTATTATACTTCAAATACAACTTATTTCTGTTCAGTTATTATGAGTATTAAGTGTTTATTTGGTTTACAAGTTATGTGTTTATTGTATTGAAAGTTATATCATAAAAATTGTCGTATTTTATCCTGTAATTGTGTATATAAAATATAATCAAATGTAATGTAATTTATTTAAAAGGTTAATTAATTACATGTGTATAACATTGAGTTTGTCTTTGTTTGCAAGTTTTCAACGGTTATTGGGTGTGACAGCACCGAGTGGTAAGTGAAGGGGTGATGAGTATAACACATCATTTTACTTAATAAGTATATCAAACAATAGAAATAAAGTGTAGGTTCAATATATAGATTGTTAATATTATTAATATAAGATACGCTACTCTATTGTACAGAATACTTAATAATCTCAACAACCTTGCTGATTACTTGCTTAGCAATAATCATGTTATCCATATTTGTTTTTCATAATAAAGTTATGATACGTATTATTATAGTTTTATGCACTATAGTGGAGTAAATCGCATGAAAATTATATACTATTGACAGTATTTTATATAATTATAATACAAATAAATGTTTATTGATTATTGAATTAATATAATTAATATTCATGAATTATTATTATTATTATTTGTGAAAAATATTTTATTTACTAAAATGTCAACTGTAATTAATAATTATAAAATTTGTGATCAAATACCACAACATTTAAAACAAGAAATTAAATATTTTTATGTTTTCAATGATTTCGATGTTTTTGTAGACTTAGACAGAAATGTTTTAAAATACTATTCTGTACATAACATACTGTTTGTGACATTTGATTATATGGTGTATCGATTGGGATCTAATAATGAGGGTCAGCTCGGGTTAGGACACAACACACCCATTCATACACCACAACCAGTGCCAGAATTATGCCATAAAAATATACATCAGTTTATGAATGGAAAAAATTTTGTATTGGCTGTCAATACTGATAATAATGTGATATTCAGTTTCGGTCGCAATAATTGGGGACAATTGGGACGGCATGTGGATATGGATGTGAATGTGAATGTATACCATAAACCGGATTCTATATTATATTTCCAATCAAACAATTTAATTATTTCGCAAATAAGTTGTGGTGAGAGTCACACAATTGTGTTGACATCAAATGGACAGGTATTCGGGTGGGGGTGTAATAACAGGGTCCAGGTTGGTTGTGGCGATAAAAGTATTCAATTAGATCCAACTCGTATTGAATTTTCCACTGAATATCAAATTAGTAAAATAGAGTGCAATAAGAATACATCACTTGCTATTACTTGTGAGGGACAGGTGCTTATATGGGGAGAGGTAGGACATAATAAAATAAAAACACCACATCTATTAGAAATTGAAATTAACATAACCAATGCACTTTCAAAAAGTGATTTTTATGCATATTTATTATCTAGCCATGGTCACTTATATCTATATGACTTTCATAAGAAGTGTTTAAAAATATTATCACATTTAGTGTTCAATGAAATCAAACAAAAACATAACTCAGTAATTGTGGGCAAATCTGGTGATAAAATATTTGAAATTTTTCGCCGAGGTCTGTATGAAACAAATTACACATCATTTGAAGATTACTTTTCACATAAATTTCAAATCACTTTAAATACAATTTCAACACATATTCAACAAAATACACAAATTTGTGGTAAATATTACAATAATGCCTTAATTGTTGTCATAATATGTTGTGCATTGAATTGATTATTATTATTATGTTTTATTATAGAAACTCATGATAAGTTGAATAATTCAATTTCATTTGAAAAGTCATTTGATGTAATAAATACGCTTGGTGAGGGTGGCTATGGACTGGTATATAAAGTTCGAGATAAATGTAACCATCAATTATATGCAATAAAGAAATGTAAAAAGAAATTAAATGGTGAATATATTTTATTTAATTTGAAAAATTATGATAATTTTTATTATATTTGGATTTTTCTAAAGGATTGACAGAAAAAGAGAAACAAAATGTTTTGAATGAAACGCAACGTCATATGAAACTTCGGTCAGAGTTTGTGATTCAATACTACTATTCATGGATTGAATGCAATTGTCTTTACTTTCAAATGGAGTTATGTATCGATAATCTCAACAATGTTTTGGAAACTAAGAAATCATTGTTTAATGAATTGATGACTATTTCTGAGTTTTATATATCGTATCATATTTTTCATAGACTCACAGAATGTGTGCAATATTTGCACGAAAAGCATATCATTCATAGAGACCTCAAACCGGATAATGTGTTGATTTCAATGGACGGAGAGATAAAGTTATGTGACTTTGGTTTGGCTAAAGAGGTCAATAGTATTGATTGGTTTCGTATGTCTAAAGCCAAACATACCGGAGATGTTGGCCCTCAACATTATATGGCACCTGAAGCTATAGGCGAGAGTTACAACCATTTGATAGATATCTACAGCCTATCCCTAACTGGGGCTCAAATTTTTGGTTTCGATACAAACGATATAATCGACGGAAAGTATGGTTTCATTTTAAAATAATTTTATTTATAAAAAATTCTATTAAACACTCATATCACTATGTATAATAAAACTAGGGCTCCCAAACCTCAAATTGGAGGAATGTCCTAAAAACGGGCCCTCAAAAACAGTCCTCCCGAGGGTTTAGGAGGACAATGTAATGTCCAGAAATAATTGTCAAAATAATGCAAAATATTCATATAATTTTCAATTACTGTGAAAATCATGAAATTTATATATAAATTGTTTCTCGACTCAAGACTCAAGTCATAACAGAATACTACTCTTGACATGACTTGAGTCCGACTCAGAAATTATTCAGATTTTGAGTCCAGAGTTTCACGACTCAGGTCATGAGCCTTAATACTTTTCAAAGCATTGAGGGCTGTCTCACAAACAAAACACAAACTAGTTTTCAATGAATTCAAGTAATTTTGAAGCAAGCACATGTGATCACAACTCGCTCATAATCGACTCACAACTTCTGAGTCTTAAGTCGCTCTCAAGTCGAGTAAGAGTGGTATGAGTGGTATATTACTTCCCAGTTTGTAGTCATTGTTTAACCAATTTATGAAACAATTATTAGGATTACAACATGTAGTGTATTGAATTTAAATTGTAATTAAACTTAAATTATTTTGGGACCAGTTGGTGTAAAATTATACAACAATATTAGTAATTAAACATTTTACTTTTTTGTCCTCCTAATATCCTCCCGTGCAATGAAAATAGTTGGCAGCCCTAAATATAAATCGTATAGCGTGTAATAATACCGTATTTCTAATTTTAGGATTAAAACAAACACAAAATATAACAAAGATATTAATGAATTGATACATAAAATGAATGTATTATTGGTGTCAATGAGTGTTAATAAGTATCGCGAAAACGGTTCAACAGATTGGAGGCAACAATTATGATATTATTGTAATATTTACCACAATTTGGTGTATTTTGCTGAATATTTGTTGAAATCTTTTATCACAATTGCAGACATTTATGACAAATAAACCCATTATTGGAGACAAAGAATTCAATTCTGTATTGAATACTATTATTGACAGAAAATATGATATATTTTACAAACTATTTATGGAAAGCAAACCGTTTTGTATAATCCATATGAATAATGGAAATATAACTAATGGTTAGATATTTATAGTTTAATATTTAAAAGTTAAACTTTTGACATTTACAGTGTTTATGTTTGTAGATACGATAGACATTAACACAATTAACGAATCAATGTTTATAATAATTTCGACACAATATCCACCAATATATTTGGCTAAACATACAATATCTCAACAAATGTATTCGTTATGCAAAATGGAAGGATTTTTAGGTAAGACTTATTGTAATATACTGTACTAATGTATGGTTGATATGAATGGATAGTACTTATCTACTCTGCTTTAATACTATTTGGCATAATACCAAAGCATATTAATTCATAGAATTCATGTGAATACCTTGCTGCAAGACAATCTTATCTCTGAATACATAAATTAGGTAATGGACTATTGGTAATGTATTAAGTATTAGAAAAGTATGAATAATTGAATGAAAAATTTGTTTTTAAAAATTTGAGTCCATAAACGCAAATCCATTGAACCGCTCTCACTGTAGTTCAATAGTGTGTGTTAAGTACTGAACCTGTACTGTATGCCGTACTTTATATACTTTATTAGAATTTATTAAAATTTTATATGTAGTTCCCTGTTAAACAAAGGTTTGAATGTACTGGCTACAAAATTATAATAGTAAAATTACCATAATTTGTAAAATGTGGACATATTTAGCATAAAATATGTTAAATATGTTTATGATAATTGTTGAACTATTATTGAATTTTTCATATTCATATTTAGAACTGGTTTAACATATGGAAACTAATTCAATGTGTACATTTTATCTAGTTAATTCACAAAATTCGCGAAAGTACCTTGAAGCATTGTCTGAATATGCGATTAAAAACGAGTACAACTCATGGATAGAAAATAATCAGATATTTATTCAAATGAAATATTGTTCGGACGATGAGATTAAATTAATTTGCAATGATCTGAATCAACTGTATAAGTATTACTAAGCTGTTAGTATTTAAAACAAACATACTTGTTCATAATTGCCATTATACCGTAGTTTACAATAAGACTTGTAAACTTATCCTTTATTCATAAATAATTTAAATTTATGAATAATCTAATTTAATTTAATAATATATAATTTAAAATAATATTAAATTGTCCATGTTACATACATTTAGTATAATTATTGCCTTTTAAATATATTTATCCAGGAAGTTATATGTAGATTATGTGACATTTATAAATAATTTATTTTATTACATTAATTATCGATTAGTAATACTCTGTACTCTAATTTTAACATGATTTATTATTGGTTCATTTTATTATATATTTTGCATTAATTTTTAAATATTCATACATAAATATATATATTTTTTGTATTCAAATAAAAGTTTTTAATTTAATATAAATTTGCAAATTAGTTTGAAATTAAATATCTATTTATATTTGGTTAGAGACATGCAATCATTCAATTAAATGTGATTTTAATGTGTTTTAATTACTTTATAAATTTTATAGATATATTTAAATTAAAATTATATAATTAATAAGTTTTTAACATAATTTTATGACTTATTTAATTATGATAATAATCCCGAGTATTTTTAATAAAATTATTAATAATACAGTATTCTTTATTTAAATATAAAGTAAAGTACTGTATAAAATAAATTTTAAAAATATTTTAATAATTGTCATATGTAATTTTAATGACTCTAAATTTTTTATAAAATTTAATTAATTGGACAAGAACATTAAATAGACGTATAAAATACTTTTTACCGATTTTGTCTACGACTCATAACAAAAAACTTATTAAAGTTTTGCCACAATTATTTTCATTTGTACGACCTTATAATAATATAAATTAAATAATTTTTTATAATAATTCTTGAACTGAATAATTGATTTGTAACAATATACTAAATAATTAATTGTATAAGGTTATTCAAAATCCCAAATTAAATCTTAAATTGTATAAACGATTTGTTTATCTGTTTATCTAATCGCCTCAAATAATGGGTAATCACCAAGGCTAATTATACAATTTAAAATGGTGTAAATAGTGTAATTAATTACATAATTATTAATATTGTAGCATGGGTGTGCAACATTTTAACAATTTATATTTATTGTGTAGTTTTATAATAAAACATATATTACTATAACTAGTGTACAGTTCAATGATTTTATATTATTTTTGTGTTTAATATTAAGTAATTTAGTGTTCATTAAGATTTGAAAACAATTTAAAAAGTTTCGCAAATATTTTACAATTTATTAAATACTGTCACTAATTTTTAATTGATAACATTTTTCTACTTGTTAATGTTTACTAATAAACTTGAGAAATCAATATGAAATATAAAACATCATTATTTATCGTATGATTATTTGTCAAAGTGATGGCCATATGTATAGTGGAACTACAACTTAAATACCTGTATGTACCTGTTGTGTAGGACTATAGATGGGGCACAGGTATGTGTAGAAAAAATAGCCAAAATAACTCTACTTAAATTGTAAGGATAGATAAAGTTAAATGAGATAAAATTATGAAAGTACATTTAGATAAGTTATTCCCGTGTTATATAATATTAAACATATAAGTTGCTTACAAATGTGATTTAAAAACTATAATTATTGTTTTGAATTTAATAATTAACTAGAATATTTTTATAATTATAATATCTAATGTCACACAAAAAACGGTAACATAACTAACTGTAAGGAATATTATATTATTTTTATAAGTTTATTTAATGATAGTCACATGTTATATAATAGCGATATTTTAATTTTTATTTGTTTTGCATGTTACTTTTTAAATATATTTTGTATGAAAGCAAAAGTTAAGGAATTTTAGTGGAAATCTAGTTTAATTGATAAATTAATTTAAATAAGTCATCAAAACAACCACACATTTCGCATAAAATTATTATGTAATATAGTACTTAAAATGAAAATATATGTAATGCTAACTAATTTTAACCTTGACCAGTTACGATCATTATTAAATACATGTGAATTTTTACACGTGATGTATGGTGTAATGTGTTAACTGGTAAATTGGTCAGGATAAATAATACATAGGATATAATAATATATATAATATTACTTTATGAAAGTAAATAACATGTGCTATCAGTTTCATATCAAACTATTGTATTTAAATGTTGTTTGTTTTTGCAATTAATATGTAAATGTGTAGTTTTAATGACTATAATATTCAATGTCACAAAAAACTGTAACATACAGTATCTGTAAGTATTATTGCTCTATATAAATTACATACACAGTGACCATAGTGAGTATGACCATGTTTAAACATGAATATAACTAAAGAACACTGTCATAATACAATACAGAAATGGCTAAGCTGGCACTCGGGATTATTTAATTGGATATGAAAGTCCATTCAATGCTGAGTCAGAATATGTAATTTATATTGTCCTGTGACCTTGGGTTCGGTTGGAGTGACCACTTTTATCGGAAATATTTTATATAAAATGTCAACATGTGATATATAAATTTTATAGAGAATTT